TATAATTAACTATATTTATTTTGTAAAACAGCTTAAGTGCCACTAGTAGTACCAGTAGGGCTTACTACATGTTTATTCACTACAGTAAGGAATGTTTGCCTTCTTCATAATCATACCTGTCTCTCTTTGGTAGTCTGAATGACTTAGAAGAATTTGTAAAAGTGACAGATGCTGGACTTCAAAGAGAGGTGACCGAGGGAGATTACTGTGTGCTGGTAGAAATCATGGGCTATCTCTTGGCTGTGAAGCAGACGCAGACAACTGCTGATGAACTCTTTGAACCTTTAAAAGAGATGGTTGAACTGTTAGAAAGCTATGGACAGAAGATGCCAGGCGAAGTTTATGCCCAGTTAAAGGTACTGTAGCAAAAGTAATATATCATGTTTACATATATGTGTATGTGGTCCTGAAATAGCAGTATTTGATCGCAGTGATGCAAAATAATTCCATTCTCCTCTTTCCTCTCCTTCTCAACTGCCAGCCATAAAATGAGGTAGCTTTTCTTATGTTCTTTAAAAGGCTTGTTTTATGTGAATGATGGAAAATCAGTTCAAGAAGAGATGTGTTACATTTTGTTCTGATGAGGTCTGTAGTTATTTTTTGCTTTTTTTCTTTCCTTTTTTTTTTTTTTCCTCTGTTGACCAAATCATGTTCACATTCATACGCCTCCTCGCGGGAGCTGAGCCATGTAGAAACTCTAGTGAGTGTATTTCCTATGTTGCTTCACCTTCTTAACACAGTTAACAGCAGTTTGGGGCTCTGTTCAATGACAGATACAAAAGCTGGGGTTTGATGCCTGTCAGGTGATACTGTCTTTCAGACATCCTCAGCCACTTGTTTCTGTATATATTCTGCCCCGCGCCCATTCCAGCTATAATTATTTTGGGTGGCAAGTGGAATTGGGGGAATTAACTGAATTAAACAAAACTCAGTGGTAAGAATAGGTGGGAGAGCACTACAGCTGCAGTGCTTCCTGCTGGCACTAAAAGAAGAGCTTATTAAGCTCTGGCTTTAAGGTCAGCACCTGCATATGGGAGACCTCTGTTTGGTCTGTTTTGGGAGATGCACTACACTGTAAATAGTGTTGAATAGAATTGGGTAGAAGTTCAGCTAATGTTTTTCATCAGATAATCTAATTAGTCAAAATGAAAACTTCTCACCAGTTTCAGTGAGTTTTCGAGTCCACAGTGGAATTTCTGGTTTTGTGTCTGTCTGATCCAAACCAGATTGAGGGGATGACTAGGAAAGTAAGTGTACGATTTTTGATGTATACCCTAAACTAGTGTTCTAGATACTGTGAAGTGACTTGGATTCAGGCTTCTCTTTCTTGTACTTTCTTTTGACACAGACAAAAAACCTGTCAAGGTATTTTTTTTCATCCTGATGGAATGTTTTTTTTCATATGGTTTACTGAATGGTTTTCCTAGCGATCTTGGGGAGATCTGTAGAATGAGAAAGCTGTTTCCAGGTCAGCTTTATATATTTGAAAATGTGTTAAAGCAGCAGGAGTGGAGCTCTCTGTTTTACTGTGTGGAAGATTCCCAACATATTTTTGAATGAAATTTTATGTGATTATACGTAAAATAACTGAGTTCGTTAAGTTCAAGTAGTTTATGATTACCAATAATCTATAAAATTATTTTACAGTTTACAAAAAGTCTAGTAAAAGCTACAACATACAGTTTTTGGTTAAATAAATCCTCCACTATAATTTCCTATTCATAGGCAGGTGTTGGGTTATCCTCACTGTTAATATACAATTTTACTGATGTTTTTTGCCATGTGTGATATTTTTCCTCCAAGATAATTTTACTCTTTTAAATAGGAATTGCCTGAAAAATGGAATGCCGTTGAGAAGAGAGCTATGTCGGTAAAGCACAAAGTAACTTCTCTTCAGGCATCTGAGGTTGCAGTTATCAGAAGAAAATGCATTTCATTTGATGTATGTTGAATTCTGTGGTCAGTCCTTTTTTACCTCTGTTTTTTTTGTTTGGTTGGTTGGGGTTTTTTTATGAGAACGTGATCAGTGACAGGTGTCATTACCTGTGTTTCATCAGGGGAAGCAGATGGAATTCAGACAAAGATTTAAAAAGGAAGCTCCCTTTCAGTTTGATGTGGAAAATGCATATGCTCCTCTCGATAAGGTAATGGGGAATCTTAGAAAAACGCATTTGCTTGTAATCTTTCAATACTAAATCTAATGATATTTTGATGTACGTATTAATATATTTGTAGTTTGTGGGTTGGGTTTTGGGTTTTTTTTGGGGGGGGGGGTAGGTGTTTGTGGGGGGGGGGGGGGCCTGCCTAGCATTTGTATTGCCAGGAGGGGGTGCAGGGCAGTTTCTGCCACATTTCCCAAGTGCATCTGTATATTATCAGTGCCTATATGTGTGTGTTTAATAGCGCAAGAAAGGTATGTATACCTATCAGAAACTGAAGTATAAAATGGTTTAAATGCTTGGGTTTGGGGTTGAATTTTGAGATTATTTTGTATGCTTTCTAGGTAGTCGTGGTGTAGGGTTGGAAAAAATAAGGTCCAAGAGCTATTGCTGGTGATGGGCTTTCCCCCTGCATCCATTTATCTGTTATATAGCAGAAGATTGTCTTTACCAAATGTTGTTGACACTTTCATCTGTACTTTCTGTTTCAGAGCAGCATTGATGATTGGGCTAAAACCCAGTGGAGACAGATTAATGTGGAACAGATGGATGTGGAGCTCGGAAGGTTTGCCAAGGCAGGTTCCATAGCTGTCTCTTTCTGCAATTTATCTGTCTCAGTGCCACCCCTTCCTCACTCTTCCCACCCACTTTGATGTTCCAGTAGATTTGTTGCTCGCATCCAAACTGAATGTTCTGGAACATGTTTTGTTTTGGGGGCTTTCCTTTAAAACTTTATTCTTCTGACTGAGTTTCCAGCCCCTGTAGAGGTACATGGTCAAACCGTTCTGTCACGTCTCTGAATTGAGGCAGTATGTGAAAGAATAAAGAGGGTGGGGTTTTATGACAGGACCCACCAGGTGAAAGTCATTATTTTTAGAGACAGGTGGAATTTGCAGAGGTTTATCTGCTCTGCTCTTAGACATAGCTCCAGAGTGTTGGGAGTCGTAGCAAAGATGCTAATTTTTAGAGGGAGGGCACTTTCTTTCCTTGAAATATTTGCAAAATTTTGTCGATAGTAGCCCTGCAGAAGACAGTTCCAATAGGACAAGGGAAGTATGAAGCAAAAATAGCAACGAAGACCCCCATACTATTTGCAGGACACTAGAGGAATAGCTGTGGTTCATAGACAGCATAGTAGTTGAGTATGGAAGGAAGGAAGTCTTGAACCTAATGGGTATAAAGTTTCTTCTTTACACGTTTGTTTCATTCAGGAATAAATAAGTTTAATTGCATGCCCAATTAGTAGTGCTTGAAGAAAAGAATCAGACTTACAGCAGATGTCTTGGCTTAAACTGCTTCAAAACAAAATGACTCCATGTGTTGCCTGGTTAGCAACAAGGGGTTTCTGCTATAGTAATTCCCATAACATGCAACTCAAGTCCTGGGTTACAACAATTTAAAGGTATTTCCGTTATAGACTCCATTCCTGGTCCCTTTGGACCAGACCGTAGGGTCTAACATTGCAGTGAACTCCTCGCCTTGCCCCTGCTCTGGCTTGGACTCATGCACAGACTGCAGTCCCTTAGGGGTGCACCTGCTCCAACTGGAGCCTTATCCATGAGCCACAGTCTCTCCAGGGGTATACCTGCTGCGGCATAGACTTATCCACAGCCACAGTTGCTGTGAGGTG